CATATAAATAATTTTCTGCATCTCAGTCGCACATACGTGGAAGTTGCTTGTGATTTCACGCTATTCTGAGGCCTTGATTCATGTCTGTCTCATGGGTTTTGTCATCATTTAACTCATCATTTATGCCGAAAGATTGCTGCCCATCTTCACTTACCTGATATCCAAATAGACGAGTTACTAATACAGACGCATTATGCGAGCCAACTCTCTCAGATAATGATAATCAAGCAGGAGACTGTTGGCTTCCCTATGCCTCATTGCCAATGAACACATCATTTTACCCACATTCAGGTACCACACACCGCCAAAATACCACTCCTGTTTTCGTCTTCTAAGTGGCTGATTATCCCTAACTCCCCATAATCCATTCTCTCAATCCCTTTTGAATACCCATCCATATATGTTATATCTGATTGGCCTTTTCAGCCCAAAGAATGCACCTTCTGGTTCTGCACACATTTTTCAGTGGAGTTAGCTTTTGGACAAACAAAACTTCGCTTTCTGATTGCCTCGTTACGGACACGCCGACAACAACCCACACGAGCTATGGTTCTGAGACAACGATTTCTGAACATCGGAAGACCGCTGCATGAACATATGGTCTCACAGCCACACTCTAGCTTGACGCAAACAACCCTTGAGATTTGGAATTGTACCGCTTTTGTGCTTTGTCTCAAATTAGCAAACGCGCCCCGAGCCCTGCAGATTCGTGCACTGACCCCACCTGACCCACTACATCCGAAAATAATATTACGTTCAAGCTACGTAAAACTCCGCGCAACTTCCAGTGCCCCTCCATGAATTGTAAGTTTCGTGTTCAGTGACTGCATATCCACGAGCATCACCTTAAAATTTGTGAGCACAAAGTCCGTAATAAAGGGTGGAGTCGCTTTGGTCAGTTTATCCAAAAACACTTGCGTCTTCTCACGTCCTTGAAGACGAGAACGATACCTGCATATTGCAACTTGACAAGGTGCTCGTCACATGCCATTTCAACACCATCTTTATGAAGGTACTCCAATATTCGTCTCATTCTCTATTCTGCCACAAAACTGAGTGGGAATAGGGAGGGTGGGCATCTCTAACATGTACGTTCTTGCATACGGAGTCTTTTTGGGGAACTCAGCATGTTTTCCCGTACTACATTTGCCCCTCATGGACTTACTGCCCTCGACGGTGTAGAATATTTCGCGGTTGACAAATCCCACCTTAACTGTATGCTTTCTCCAGAAAGTTGTCCCACTATATAGTGAACTACATGATCCACCTACAGCTATAATTGAAAGGGAAAAATAAAACGGTAGTAAATCTTGTTGGACGCCTGTGCTGCCGGTCTGAGCTTGCGTAGGTTAGATCATTGACCCCGTCAGCCTTTTTATAAATCGAAAAGCTCACTGATAGCAGAGCAGAAAATGCCAGCAGACTCACTCAATGCAGCTCGTTTAGCAAAGCCTCCACGCTTTTCTTCAGGCCGCATCAGCGCCGATCTGAGGTCATCTCATCGTACAAACACACAACACCGCCACCACCGCCACATATGTCACTTTTTTCTCTGATGTCGTATGCCTGGAGGCTACGGGTCCGCAATCGCGCACAATTTTTACAGCGCTCATCCCTCATATCCACATGTGCCTACACCCGTTCACATCTACCGCATTCCTTTTATCGGTACCTGAGTAGTAATTACCGTTTTTGAAATGGATTAGTGTCACCATACTGCGGTAGTAGGGAATTTTGACCACTTTTGGCGGTCTGCTATTTCGGGCCACAGTCTATCGCATATCACTGTGCTTTTTACCAGACCTTTTTACCACTTTTCAAATTCTGAGTACCCATTGTAATGACGGCTGTTTTATTTCCCCTTTTGAATAGCGGTAATGAACCACTGTGTGCCCTCGATACACCAAAGAATATCCTTGATCCGTGCTGTTCTCAGTTCGGGACGATTCCTCGGCGACTCGCAAACACAAAGCTGGATTTGGAATTGGAAACCCGAGGTTTCAGGTCGTCCGCAAAAACTGGACTTAGGTTCAAGTGGGACATAAAGTTAACAAAAACTCGGGGGCTGCATCTACTTGATGAGCAACAAGGCTGGCGAAACAGGTCGTGGGCTGTCGAAGAGATCTCAGCAAACTTGTAAGTAGTTTTCTTTATATTGTTGTGTTTGTTTGCGCATGGTGAATTCACATGACGTAGGTCAGAAAGTGAGGGGCGCCTGTTATACACGTCGCTGCAGAAGAAGCCCGCATGGGGCCCCTTCTCACTACGAGCTTTCAACTTGGAACTCAACCCCGTATTTTAGCGTAGATTTGCTGCTAAATTGCGTCGGTTTCGGGCTTGCAGGTAAGTGGAATGCACGGAACTTGATCGATTACTTTAAGGAAGTCGAGAAACATTGTGTCCGGTGCGAGTGCTGTGTACTTGAATCGTGTTAGACTCACCATGAATGTGCGCACGTTTTCCGCGAAAACACGGTGCAGAAAGAATCCGTGTTGCGCAGGGGATATGAAATTTTCAAGATGCAAGCGCTTTAGATAGCCCGCCTCAAAATTGCGCTCCATGCCGGTGCTACAAGTTATAGGGTTAAAACACCGTCACACCAAAACAAACCCAACCTCCGCGAGTGACCCACCGCGTCCGAACACCCCGACATTACTGCGCTTGTCCCGGGACGATAGGATGCTCACAAAGACACAGAGAGCTGGACAGTCCTCATGAATGCTATAGTCAGAAGCATCATAAAGTGGTGGACAATTATCCGAAGTACGTGCTAGTGGCCGGAATTTAAAATGCCAGCATCGCAGATATTCGATGGTTGTTTGATGTTCCAGGGCAGATGCTCCGCAAACCAGTGTATCAATATCGATGTAATAGGATTCCTCCGCAAGTCCGCTTAAGAAGACAAACACAATGACGCTAACAACGGCTGTAACTTACTCCACATAATGTAAAATTCTGTTACTGGAGTGCTCAATACCGTTGGTTGGACACTTCTCGTTTGGACGCGCAACATGCCCAACGAACCATGCTTGGGCAGAAAGCCGCCTAACGATTATAAGAAAAAGCTCTGGGAAATGGTAATCGGGCTAAACCAAATTGTAGCGTACCGCTGAAATGATATTTATTTTTTGCTTTTTAAATTATTTTTATTTTCGCATAGCAAAGAAATCCTGAGTCTTTAGGCAACTGATACTGCCGAGCACTCAAGCGCTACTTGCGCCTCGGACATCGGGAAGCTGCCGCCTAGCATGGAAGCCTTACCATAATATTGAATTTCTTTTCGGGCAATAGTTATTCCGCCGCTGTCCATCTGCGTTTGACATATAGTAAAATCATTGTTCTTCGTTCAATCATTACGTGTTTCAAAATATAGAGTTTTTAGTGGCCTTCGAAGCTTGACAGCAGTTCAGATTCAAATGGGAGAGGTCCTGATAACATGACCATTAGAGGTGACGAAAACTGCGTACTTCATACCACTAGCGCTTCGAATTTCAACTTCCTACTGCAAGTGGCATATGATCGTTGCGAAAGCGTAGAATACTGGGGCCCATTAATCACACAGTACTCTTAGCTGTGAATGGAATAAAACCCTTTACGCCAAAAAGTTGCATTTTTTGCATATGTTCTCGAACCAAAAACCATTTAAGCTACTTTCATACTTTTGCAGCTCACCGAGTTTCATTGTCCATTGAAGCCATCATATCTCTGCGGCAAACGTCTAGTGGAACGCATTCCTAGCATCGCTGCGAACCCGGGATACCAAGATTAGGCTCAACAGATTGCACTCTTACTCTAAACCCAGTTGCCCGCCTCTTTCAGTCCAACGGGGACACGTCGTAGCTTTCGACACTTCAATTTCATTGTGCGAGTTCTGAGCGCCTAGATTTTTCGGGGCGCCAAGTGGCCTGGGAAATTCGCGCCGCTAGATGAACAAGACGGGTCACCATCACCAGTGAATCTCGTATGAGTGCGAGTTCTGAGCGCCTAGATTTTTCGGAGCGCTGTGTGGCCTGGGAAATTCGCGCCGCCAGATGAACAAGATGGGTCACCATCACCAGTGAATCTCGTATGGATAAATAATTACCAAAGTGCCGGGAAAGTCAAGGAATTCGAATACTGAAAGTTGAAGATTTGTCCAGTAATCAGATAAGCATTCACCATTCTACGGATGATCCGTCGCACCTTCTCCCGTATCACCCGCACGGACTCCCAAATACTCTATTGGGGCCACGTCAGACCGCCCCTGGAATACGTCAATCAAGTTGTCTACACAGGACGCACGAAAGACGTCACCCTCAATGAGGGTGTCCAGCAGGGCGCTAAAACAATGGTTGCCGGCCTCAAGTCCGTGGACTACGAAACCCGTCTCGTCCCCCGGCTTCGAAAGAACCTAATTCTTACTTATGCTCTGTTTGGACAAAGCTTGGCCAACAGGTTTTTCACCGTTGACCCGGCATACACACGGCGAGGACATGGTAAGAAGATTTTCAAGCTCAGAGCACACACATTCAGTGGGCAAAAATTTTCTCATTTCGGGTAGTAGGTGCGTGGAATGACCTTCCTCCGACGGTTGTCCACGCTCCTACTAGAACCCATTTTAAAGCACTGTTAGACATTTATTCATGCGAATCCTCGTGCTGTCAAGCCTACGGCCCCGCGCTGAGAAAATAAAGAGTAGTGCTACCATCCTTTTTCACGTGTGCCTCTTGGGTGAACGAAAAGATCAAAACCGACCCGGGAAACATGGGCAATAGCCTCGATCCTATGTATCGATCCCTGTATCCGTGAAAGCATCGTCGTCCATTCCGGTCCCACTGACTCAGTTCCCACTGCACACCACCAAACCGAATGAAAAACTCACAAGTTGTAATTTTATGATGCCGATATTCAAGGACCAACTGCTACAACATTGTTGGGAGTATGCTCACCTGGCCAGAGAATTCATATTTTCTATTGGTGAGGCCAATAAGAACCAATCCGTGTTGGGCTCTCTGTAGGCCGTCAGCTCCAAGCTTTGGTCCGCGGCGGACTAGTCTTTTGGACGTTGCCGTGACTGTGACGCTTCATGGTCCAAACGGCAAGCAAATTGGAATTTTGTTAGTTTGGAGATCATACCTCTTCGGCAAACTTTGATTTCACTGCGCCGTCCCAGGTACCATTAAAACATCTCTGGTGTGTGATGGATGATGATTCATTCATTAACGGCGTCGAAGACTACATCAAGCGGTATAACATCCATGAACTTCTCCGGGATTCGATCGTCAACCTCTGTCTTTATCGACCATCAAATCCAGTTGGGTATTTACGTGAATACTTCGAGAAGTTAGAAGTGAGTTCCTTGTACTATACAGTACCTTACCTTTGTTTTAATCCCCGTCTGCTTTATAGACTTATTCGTCCATTACTCTGATCCAGCGTTTTCGAGGCTCACCCAGGCCACCCCTTTCTAAGCCGTTCGTGACGAAGAGACAACCCTGCCATTGTGTTTGTGCGCTCCAATGACCCATTAAACTATGCTGTGGTGTGTCTATGCGACACCCACCGCGACTGAAACCAGGTTGGACATTGGCTGTATATCTGACTAACTTAGTCTCCTGGTCCTCCATGTTGGGGGTTGAGACATGTGTGGCGACTTGTTCCTTGAAAATGAAATGCACTTGAAAGTCCCTCCAACCTCTGCTGGCTTGTTGTTCAGCCTCAAGATAAAGGGTCTGGTCGAGCACCCTAGACGTCCCCTTGTCTAGGTCTGGACCCTCTGGAAGAATCCCAACCCACAAAAAGCCTGAATGCACCCCAGCGGTCGTGTTAACGGGTTCACTTTGGTTAAGTAAGCAAGCAACAACGTGCTACTGCTGACGCCTCCCTTCGTTCTCTTGCACATACTGTCTTGTCCACTTCTTACCAACTTACTGGAGTGTCCGCGGTTCGAACTCAAACTCAGCATCTCTACTTCTGTCCAAGTTTGGGCCCCGAAAGGGTGTTACGGTTGAAAGACCTACATAATTATCAGTCACATTTCTCGTAGGTCCATTCTTTAAGAATGATGATGATGCTCGTCAGCTGGCGCCGACAGACTCAGACATTTTGAATTCGGTCTCCGAGCATCAACATCCGGCTTATCTGACCAACTTCAGATTTTGCACTCCGAAACAAGCAGAGCAGTAAGCTACTCTTGATTTCACATAGGATAGGCTTGATCGTGATTATCAGAAACAAAGATTTATGATCTCTTGATTTCACATAGGATAGGCTTGATCATGATTATCAGAAACAAAAATTTATGATGCATGCACAGCGTTTGAGCTGACTTCCTACTCATTCTCCATTCGTTTTCGGCTGCGTATGATTGGCGATCCAGAGGCCGGTGCGATAGAATGTGCAGATGGCGAGTTGGCTCCAGTGGTTGGAGCGCGAATTTACCGATCGGAAGGTCCGCGGTTCGTCCCCTGCCTCTTGACTTCTGTCTAGGCTTGGGCAACCTGGCAGTATTCCAGCCCTCGTGCTTCCTTCGGGTAGCATGGTAGCTAGGCACTGGAAGGGTGTTAAAGATGAACGATTTATTATTATTATTTTCATTTCAGAATGTGCAGATATTGAAATGGCGCTCAGTCACCGGGCGGAAGGATCCCTGCTTGATTAGATACTTGTTGGTCATCTCCCCTATGCTGTTAGCTCCAAGCTCCGCCACAAAGAGTCTCGACATGGTCTGATGGTGACCCAACGGGCTATACTTGGAGGAGTCCGCTCGACACCCGCACAGTCTCATACCAGGTTGATCAATGGCTGGAAGTCTGAGGAACACATTCTCTTGGTCCTCCCGGTTGGGGTTTGGAAAACGCGTGGCAACTTCTGTAAAGGTTAAGATGCCAAACCGCTGCCTGGTGGTCGGGCTTTTGAGCCAAAGTCTTTGGTTGAAGACCTTACTCGTCCTCTTGTCCAAGTTTTGGGCTCCCTGGAAGTATCCCAGCAAACGTACAACCGTGAATTGCACCTATGCAGATAAACTCATGCCACATCGGTCGTCGCATCGTGCCATCAGTCGGGTCGCCTTGCTTGCTACCTACAGCAGGACGGGTATGCGAAAGCAGGCTACTGCTGACGCCTCCACTCTTCCTTTTCCACATACTTTTTTTCTTTCTATCCCCACCTGGTTAATATAGTCCCTCCGACAGTTAGGATTGATAACTCCGTTAGTCCTGCATCGGTTTTGCAGCAATATAATTTGGCGCCAACATCTCCAGGCATATTGAGATCAATCTTCAAGCCCAGTTTATCTGGCCGCCTTCAATGTCAGAACTCTGGATCAAGCAGGTCAACAAGCTGCTGTCGTTCTCTCACTGGAATTGCCTGGTTTAGCTGTGTGCTGTGTATCAGAAACAAGAATTCAAGATGCAAGAACAGTATCTGGGCTAACCATCCCACCACTCTCCATTCACTTCTCGCTGCGCACCTCTGGTGATCTAGAGTTTGCTTCGATAGGGTGTGTAGGAGTTAGTATCGTCCAAAGTCGCCGGACTAGATACTCGTTGACAGTCGCCTCTGTTCGGTTCGTCTCGCAACATCTACGAAGGAGTCTTACAAGCGAGAAGTTGATTGATGTCTGTTTGTCGTGTCTGGTTACGCCCCGGCTGACAATATCCTTGACACCACCAAGGACAAGTTTAATGACTCCCCGATAGCCTTGTTGTGGCGGGCTCAAAGTTCGGATACCTTTGGTTGCCGGAGATCTGAATTCACAATTGAACAGGCCTATCTTATCTCAGACCCAATTAGGTGGTCGACATGGACTGGAATCGGTGCGTACGAACAAAGGTGAACCATTGCTTTAGCTGTGTAGTGATCATAGGCTGCCTTAATGGATTGCTAAGCTCCGAAATAGCTGAAGTCGTCTGGCCACATGGTTTCCCCCTGCGGCGTGCGGCCACGAACTTAGATGGATCACATTTCCACTAGTTACCGATGGCGCGGATCAATAACTGACTGCCGGTCGTTTTGGAACACATTTATGTAATCTGATCATGCGCTAATCCGGGGTCGCTTCTTCCTACGTTTTTTCGGGGCCGCGTTAGGTGCGGAAGGATCGCTTGGCAACAGAGACTGGCAGATCTGGATGTTAGACGAATTTCCCAGGATCGTCTTCTAGATTCTCTTCCAAATTCTCCACCATCAGATTTAAACGCATACTAGGACAAGATTGCCACCTCTTTGCATAGTGCTGGGAATTTTGCCTGTAGCATGACCCAACTACGCGCACCCAAGCACTGGATATCAGACCGAACGGCGGCACTGCTTAAATCTCAGAGAAATACCCCAGCCGGTCCCGAACATAACCCGGTCCGAAGAGTTATCGGACGTCAAGTGAAAGTAAGTGTGCGAGCCGGCTGTGAAGTATGGTGGACACAGAAAGCCAAGGAAATGGAAGAGGTCCAGAAAGCCGGTAATACCCGAAGATTATTTCATTTGATCCGCATGACCGGTCTCCGGAAGTTTCTTGTGAGCGAAACCGGCAGGGATGAGAAGGGAATGACAATCTTGAACAAAGAAGAGCGCCCAAACCAGTTGGCCGAATACTTCGAACGTTTATCGTGGTAATCAGCTGCCCCTCATCTGGAGTCCACAATTGACGTGGAACCCTGGACCTGTGAAAGTGAAACCACCCATAGCCTCGGCAGTTTATGACTTCATGTGTTCTTTCAAGCGCCACTAAACTCCTGGGCCGGATGACCTCCCACCTGCATTGTTCATAGATGGGAGTGAACTCCTCAGTCGGCGCTAGTCTTGTCTGTTTGCTTGAATTTTGGAAAAGGAGACTGTCCCAGTCAACTGCGGAGTGTCGATGATAGTGCGCATCTTCCAAAAAGGGGCTCTTAATGTCGTGTGGTGACTACAGAGAGATAAGCATAACCCGAGGCTGCTGATGTCACTTGTGCTTCATCGCCTTATAGTGACTCGTGAAACTTTGACTCGGGCTTCTGGCCTGGTAGGGGTTGCGCCGACGAAATCTTCACACTCCATCAGGTACTAGAGCAACGCCGTACGTACAAACGACCTACAATTTAGGTATTCTTGGATTTCCCAGGTGCATTCGACTCTACTGACCGGTATGTTCTTGCTTGCCTATCAGTGAATTTCCTGGAAGATTGTGTACATAATACGTTCTTTGTATTCTCAGACTTCCGGATGTTTGAGAGTATACGGTGAGCTCTCGAAAAGCTTTCGTGCACAAAGCTGTGTACATCAGGCGTGCCCACTTTCTCCACTGCTATTTAATTTCGTGATCAATGAAATGGTGAGATAAATGCTGGAGAGCCTTCAAAATCCTGGTGTTAAATTAGCTTCTGATGAAAACCTTGTCGATCTAGAATATGCAGGCGATATCGTTCTCGTCTTTGAAGAGGAGTACAAGGCTTAGTTGTTTTTGGATGAACTGACCAGTCATCCCGTTCTGTGGTATGCACTTTACACCCACAAAGTGTCAGGTATTGCTCCCGGACATGCAGTCATTGAACACGCATTTTGCAATCCAGGGTTTGGCACTTGAAGTTGTGGAGCATTTCAAGTGCCTTAGAGGTTGTATTAGTTCTTGTAGTGGGCTAGATGAGGTCACTGTACGGACTCGGGTCGCGTCTGCTAATTTGAGACACTTATGGCATCAAATCAGTATATCCCTGAATCTCACGAGACTTGTGTTTTAGGCTACAATACGGGCTATTTTGTCGCATGGCTAGGAGATCTGGCCCGTTCGAAACTGAGACGCATTCATGTGTTCGATAATCTAACAAGAAAGCCACTGACATCGATCGGCAGCCATATCTTGCAGCGTCTCCATTCAGGCGCACACGCAGCACGTGACCAAGCAAGCGCAACCTATGCAGTGTGATCAGTTCATCTATCGAGGGTGAGGTATTTATTACGAATACAGTTCGACGTACTTCAGCATTGTTGATCTGGTGTTCGCACCAGACTGGGCCAATGCTTCGAATACATCGATGGTCAAACACTGAAATTCTTTTGGCGTTCTCGGCGCACAGCGGTCAGGTTTCTGATTCGTACGGTAATATGGACCGCACCGCAGCTTTGTTAACTCGACCGGTGACGAACAAGCTGATGTCATGTCTACGCCACAGGTGACGCAGTTTCACAAAGGCTGCTCTGGCCTTACTAATCCGGATGGAAATATCATCTGTCGCGAGACCACCAGGACAGCTGCCCAGGCAAACATATTTGTCTACTTCCTCAATCGTCACGAAGAGACGACCTTACCGTGGTGTGACGGTTTGTGCAGCTCAGAAATCCATTGAGCTATACTGGAGAGTGTCCCGCGACACT